TTATGGCTGTAACCCTGAATCTAGAATGATATCTGGAATGCAGTATGTACTCAATATATATACTGGATATATATACTGGAATGTAGTACATACTACATTCCAGATATATATGTATTTTAGAATGAATGAAAGAATGATGTAATAGTAGCATTTGAATCAAGAAGACTATGATTGTGGGAGCTACTAGCACAGCTGGGACAGAAAAGTGTTGTCTCTTTGAACTTTCATAATCAAATCTTGTCTTTTGAGTCAAATAATTTAAAAAATAGACATAAGTGGCAGCAAGAATCCTTCCCAGTCTTCTTTAAATCACCAAAACCATTCACTATTCATCAGAGACTCACGAAGAGGAGAAACATGATAGGAGAAATGCCATCTCCCCTTCTTACTTCTAGTCAAACTGACCCAATCACAGAATCACAAGTAGATTTGGAATTTAATTGGCAACATGAGAGTTCAAGAGTTTCAAAGCTTAACTTCCAGATCTTTAGAGGTCTGTAATACCCATCTGTGTTTGAACTTGAGATTAATGTAGCTTTATCTCTATACTGTAGAAAGCTGATTTTTCCATCCATCCATTAATGTTTCCTTCTTAGTGAGCCCTTATTTAAGTCCACATTTCTTTTCCCTTCACCATTTCTGGGTATGTCTAAACATAAAAATACTTCTTTCAGTTTACAACTCCAACAAACCAAGATAAGGCATAGCAATGGGGCGAGTTCTTGGATCTTTGTATGTGAACATACTATGCTTGGAGTAGAAAGGTTCAGCTGTTTTTGAAAGCACACTATTTCTTTTTCTTTCTTTTTTTCTTTTTGTTCTTTGTCCACAAGAGGACTAACTAAATGTATAGTTCAGAAACAGTTGTGGAAGACCAAACACAGAGAAGAAAGAGGAGCTTAAAGAGGATTAAAAGCAAAAACACCTAAAGGAAGAGCACTTGTAAGTGGGATTTGAGGTGTTCATCGGTTACAAGTTGAAAAAACTAATTTATCCACTGTAAATTCACAGAGATTTCATAACAACAGAAAAGAACATAGAGTCCTAGTCTGAAAACCATGAGGCAACATTTAGTATTACACATTTATTTCTTCAGTATCTTTCAAGGTGCATTGAATTTAGGTATTCCAAAATGAATGAGAGATAAATCTACTTTGTCATTCTTTAAAACATCCCAAGGAGACTCTGAATTCTGATAGACAAAACATTCTTTTTATTTTAGAGCCTTAAGCCCTTCATATCTTATCTACATCTCTTTTATTTCCATCTAAATTTAATGCCTCTTTTATAGTGCTTGAAGTAAAGAGAGAGGCTGCTCCTTCTTGGGAAAACTGAAATTTCTCACTGTTCCCAGCTCTCACAGTGGATTGGGGCGTGGCTTCACTCAGTGTGCTTTACAAGGTGGTGCAAAACGTGGTGTTCTGTAAACATTTCTAAGAACTATTACCAAGTGCTAAGGTGCCCTGCCAATCAGATCCTAGAGAAGCTGAACACTCCTCACCCTATCATAACAGAGTATCTGTTGCCTGCAGGTCTAGCTATTAAAATGACTGAGCAATGCTCCTAAACAGGTTGGTTGGTGCACAGGGGCCCCATGACTCAACCTTAAGTTAGTTATAATAGACAGGTTTTTGAAATGAGGCTGGTTAGAGTCTGGCTAGGAGGATATCACTGTTTCTCTGTCCTGTCTGAATTGCTCAAAAGAGGTCTTGAGCCCTGTGTGTCAGGTTGGGGTAGAGGTGGAGCAGATGAAGAATGGGAGGTCAGAAAAGGGGCAGTGTTTTCTAAAGTTCTTGGTCAGTTCTATGTGGAATCTAATATTTTGTTCAGTGCAAATTTTATGAAGCCAAACTACCAGATCGAGTTTGAAGAGATGACCTGTTGTTTGAGTTGGTGTTTATTCTTCGAGTTTCGTACAAATTTGAAAGTCACAAACAAGAAATTAGTATTTTTCTTTTATATTCTTTCTCATCCCATTCCCAATTTCAATAGATTCCACTGTGTCAGCTAAATGGAAAAAATATACTGTCCATGTCCCATATTTCCATAAGCACATATTTTTACTTATACTGCAAGTTAGCAATTATTCCAATAAAACAATGATAAAATATTAATAAAGATGCAACTATGAGATTGACACTACCAATTGCAATATAAAGATTATTTTTTTCTGTTAGTGAAGTGGTTTGTATTGTGCTCCTTGCCCAAGTCCTCAGGGATAATTAAAATTCTTTGACTATACAAGTGTCTCACAAAATGTGTTAATGAGATCGTTTTCTGATATATGAAAGTGTCCTGGCATGGTTTTTAAATGCGTGCTGCACACCCCCAAACAATTATCATACAAAACGCAACTGTTTCTCTTTGTCTATCATGAGCACTTAAACGACAGCATTAGACTCAACTGCATAATTCTGGTTTAATTTTCATATCTGATACTACAGTAATGTTATGAGGTATTTACTTAGCAACAAAGGTAAATGTTTGTTTTAAAAGTGCTTTCTTTTCTTTAGCTTCTTTGGAAATAAGCCTAAATTAAGTGCTCCATCAGTTTCTTCAGAAGAGCGAGCATGTGTTTGCACACACACACACCTCAGCTTGTTTTCTTATCCTCCCTGTGGTGATTTTGATGAGGTGAGGGTTTGTGCTGGCAAAATTCTGAAGTGTGGACAAATTGTGCTGCACTTTTATTAATGCAAGATGGAAAACACTACTAAAATATTAGAGAATATAATTTGCTCAAGCTTTGTATTCATTTGCTAAGGCTGCCATAACAAAATACCACAAATTGGGTGGCTTAAACAACAGAAATTTATTGTCTCACAGTTCTGGAGGCTGGAAGTCTGAGATCAAGGTGTTGGCAGGGCTGGTTCCTTCTGAGGGCTGTGAAGAAGAACCTGTTTTATGCCTCTCTCCTGGCGTGAGTGGTTTGCTGGCAATCTGTGGGTTCCTAGGCTTGTAGATCTCTGCCTTTATCTTTACATGACATACTAAGTGTGTGTGTGTGCCTGTGTGTGCCTGTGTGTGCCTGTGTGTGCCTGTGTGTGCCTGTGTGTGCCTGTGTGTCTGTGTCCATATCCAAATTAACTATTTAAGACACTAGTCCTATTAAATTAGAATCCCACCCTACTCCAATATGACTTTTTCTTAACTAATAGCATCTGCAAAGATCCTATTTCCAAATAAGGTACCATTCTGACATACTGGGAATTAGGACTTCAGCATATGAATTTTGGAGAAACACAATTCAACACATAACAAGCTTCAGATGAATAATAGACTCACCCTTAAGTTAGTTATAATAGACACTGAATATATATTCAGTGTAATTCACTGAATATATATTGAATTATAAGTTCAAAATAGAGAAGGTTTTTTTTTTTTTTTTTCAACTCTTAGTGAACTTGTCCAGGACTCTTGTGTCTTGCTTTACTGAGCACTAGGAAGATGAGTTATAACTGGTGACAAAGGCTTTACTGTCTACTGAACTTTGGTCCAGTCTTTCCCATTACAAAATATAAAAAAGACCTTATTACCAAGTTCCATTCTCTCCAGTTACTGTTTCCTTGCCGTTTCTGTTAATTTTGATAAACACATGAGAGTATGCGCTTGATAGAGGAACTCAGCCTTTATTAGGGGTCTGACCTGGCACAACCACAATGTACATACTAAAGTGAGCCCAGAGGGACCTTCCAAAGTTTGCGAATCCTTACAGTGCATTAAGTTAGAGATTTAAAACTAAGGAGGGAAGTCAGATTTCACTGTATGTGTGATATTGAAAGAGAAGTCGCTAGGTGAGATGACTTTCAGAGACAGTGTAGGTGGTGAAGGGTCAGGACCCAGAAGACTGCCCTGTTCCCAGAGAGACTTCTCATTTATCTCCCTTCTGTTGTGGAAAGACTCTTTAGTTTTTACCTCTCATTCTCTCTACAATCCACTCCAATTGGATGTCCACCTCCACTGCTCCACTGAATTTGCCCCTGTTATGGCCACCACTTTTCCTTGAAACACAAAGCAAATGGGTTATAATGAAGGAACAGCAGGCAGGAGAATTGGGCAGAATTAGAGCAATACCACAGTGACAGGATACTAACAGGGAAAGATCAATACCTAATGAGTAAAAGTTAAAGTGTCAAGGAGGGTTTTCACAATGTTTAAGAGCAGAATCCTACCAGCAATATTGTGGTTTGGGTCTGACTTCTCAAATTTCTCAAATTTCAACCGCTTGCCTATGAAACTGTTCACCATCTGCTCCTGGGTTCCCTAAGGCCAAGTTCCACTACCAATCCCTGTAACTTCAAGTTGGGCCTCCCCAGTGCTGCGCCAGCCTGGCATGCCACCTGGCATGCTATCTATTGCCCAGCCTTTCAGATACTATATTCTACCTGCTAGATTGAATCTCTCTCTTGCACCTGCAAATATATACATTCCTTCTGTATCATCTCTTATGCATTTCTAGTCCTAATTCCTGATATCTTTAATCTATGCATCTTGCAATAATTAACGAGGTTCTGGTCAGCCACGTCTTTCAATATGACATTTACTATAATGATTCTAAAATAGTACCCTTTATTCTTTACTGCAGCTCAGAAATGTTTGACTCATCCAATTAATAAAATTTGCTGGCATGCATGGGTGGCATGCTCCTCAACATCCACGGAGACTTTCAAGTATCATACTTTGCCAAGAACACAAATTCCTCCAGTTCAGACATGTAGTTTAAGAGATTCTTATATAATTCATGCTGCAAGCACCTAATATCTTTAATCATGTTGAAGAAATCTGCATGTTTTACTGAACTTGAGAATTTGAAGTAATTCTTAAGGACACCTACATTTATGCCCTAGATACTCAGATTTTGAAAGCAGTTTAGGGTTTCTCTTTTACTGTAGTTATCACCGTGATGGGCAGGAGCTGCTTCCTTCCTTCTTTTTCATCTTCCTTCCCTTTGTTCCTCTTTCCTCCCATTCTCACTCTACCTCTTCTCTCTCTTTCCACAGTTATTTAGCACCTACCATGTGGCAAGATTGATGCTCTATTTCAGAGAATGAGATAAATGCAGCAATTTTTCTGTCTTGAAGATGTTCATAAACTAATGAAGAAACAGGCATCTGATCCATGCATTATCAACTCAAGGTGAGTCTTCTCTTGCCATTATCTTCCTTTATGTCTTATTAATACGCTTTTGCTTTTTCAAAAGAAAATTTAAACAGTTGTGCAACTCCATCTCAGCTCACATTTCCAGGACAAAAAAAAAGCACCAAATTCACGTAAATATAATACTGTCTGTGAATATAAAATATATTTAATATACCTCACATCTTAATTTGAGCCACAGATTGGAGTATCATTTCTATATATTCATGAAAATTTGAGTTGTAAATAAAATTCCTGTCTTGTGTAGTGATGCAAGCTACTAACAAGATTACCAAATATAGGAAAATACTCCCTACAAGACTAGAGGGAAAAGCTCTACTCTGTAATCATTATAACTAAACCTATGTTACTTTTCCTTGCATGTCATTTAGGTGATCTGAATAATAAAATAACTTTGATCTGGCATGCGATTTTCATCAAACTCTTCAAAATTTGAGATACTTAGAGAAGCAAATTCAGAGCTTCTTGTTCCTTAAATAACATAAATTCATTTACCTGCACCCATTCCCCTAAGCACATAAAATATAGTATTGCTCCAAATGCATAGTTGAGATACTAGGGAATGTCAGAAAAATTCCCAGGTGGCAGGTAATCTGGAAATCAGGGCATAATCTCTAAAGTACAGCTGCGGCTTCACTGGTTGGTTAATTCCGGGTCGGGAAGCGCATGGGAGATCAGGAGTTAAGGTGTGAGTACCTTGAGAGCTTTTATTTTAAGATCCTCAGGGTAATAGAATAAATCCTGTAAGCACATGTGGTGAGCTGTAAACCTTGAAGGTCTGTACCTCATTAAATCACAAGACTAAAGAAGCTGTGCCCAGGGTCACAGAAAGGCAACAGAAAAGTTTATCTATCTCAGCCTAAGTTCCTTAGTAAGAATCTGTTCTTTAGGTCTGTTCCATAAACAAATATGGGGTTCAAATTATTTTACTCTCAAAGTTCTCAAGATTTAGGAATCCCCACATTGAGAAACTAACATCAATGTGCTCTATACAAATAATAATTCGGGAGCATTTGTTAGACACAAAGACAGCACACTCCACTGTGTATGTATGTGCTTCATGACCCCCACAGAGCTTTCACAATTTGAGGTTTCACAAGTAAGCGATCCAACATGGGTGAGAAACTAAAAACACACAGTAGAAGTATTAGAAGATCAATATTTTCACATTATAGCATATTCTGATAGAGAATATAAAATTGTGTTCAAATAACCAAGGTAATAAAAAGAATCAAATTTGTAAAAAATGTACAAGAAACAAACCAAGCAGATTAAAACAAATCAAATAAAACTTTTAAAGTTAAGCAATAAACAAATAGTTTATGGAGCATATTAGAAAGAGCTAAAGTGAAAATATTTAACTAGAATATAGATCTGAAGAATTAAATAAAATGCAATTGAGGAAGTTATAGAAATAAAAACATGGAAGCGATTCAGTGACATAAAGGAGGGAATGAGAAGATTTAATATATGTCTACTAAAAGTTCAAGAGGAAAATAATGATGAGGAGTCCAATATTAACAAGATGATGGCTGACAATTTTATAAACGTGATGAAAAACATGAATTTTTAGATCCAAGAATAAAGTTTTAAGTGAGATAAATCAAGAAAAAACTATGAACAATAGACTTCTCATGGTAACAATAGAGGCCAGAATACAATTGAATTATATCTTCAAATTGATGAGAAAAAAATAACTGTCCCTAGAATTATAAACTAGAGAAACTATCAATCAACAGTGAAAACATAATAAGAACAATTTTAGACAAAAGAGAAATAGAAAATTTACCACCCACATACCCTTGCTAAAGCAATTATTAAAAGATTTACCCGAGAAAGAAGAAAATTAAACCCAGAAGAAAGAAGAGGGTTTCCAAAACCAATAGTGGTCAAAACAATTGCCAAACATAGGGTAAATCTAAACACATGTTAATAATATAATAAATGAAAATAATTATGAACAATGAGATTCATAAAAATAAAGTTGAAATAAAAATCTGAAAAAAAATGGCATTAATCGCAGTTGAAGTGTTCTTGTAATATTTCAAAATGTGATAAAATTATGGATTCACTTTGGACTCTATTCAGACAGGCACACATTTAAATGAAAGGATAAACCATAAAACCATAAAGATTAAATGTATAATTCCATAACCAATGAAAGGAAAGAAAGAATTAAGAAAAATAAATCAGTCTAATACTTGTTTTCTGAGAAGGAAAATAAAAATATGTGATATGGAAAGCATAAAACAAAGCACTAGAAACAAAACCTATCAGGAATGAAATAACTTTAAATGAACTAACTTCATCAGTTAAAAAACAAGGATTGTCAGATTAGATTAAGAAAACATAATTCAGCTATTTGATATTTACAAAAGTTGTAGTCTTATTTTAGTTATGTTAATATGCTCAGGCTGCCATAACAAAATACCAGACTCAGTGGTTTAAACAATAGGAATTTATATTCTCACAGTTTGGGTGTCTAGAAGTTCAAGATTAAGATGCTGTCGGGGTCAGTTTCTGGTGAGACCTCTCTTCTTGGCTTGCAGATGTTCACCTTCCTACTACATTGTCACACAGTCTTTCATCAGTGCATACACAGAGAGATAGGATGGGGGAAAAGAGAGGATGAGGAAAAGAGGATATGGGTAGGAAGAGATATATTATAAAGAACTGGCTCATGGAGTTACGGAGGCTGAGAAGTTGTGGTATCTTCAGTCATCAAGCTGGAGACCCAGGAGAGCTAAAGGTATAGTTCCAGTCTAAGTCTGAATGCCTGAGAACCAGGAGAGCCAATGGTGTAAGTTCCAATCCAAGTTTGAGTCCACGGGCAGAAGGCAGAAGGTTGATGCTGCAGGTGGTAGTCAGGTGGAGAGTCTTCCTTCACTGGGGAGAGGGCCTCTTTGTTCTAGTCAGGCCTTCAATTGATTAGATGTGGCTCACCCAATTAGGGAGGGCAATCTCTTTACTAGGTCTACCAATTCAAATGTTAATCTCATCCAGACCCACCCACATATATGTTTAACCAAATATTTGTACACTCGTGGCTCAATCACATTGATACATAAAGTTAACCATTACAGATTTATATCCAAAATATGCAAAGAACTCTTAAAGCTCAACAATAAGAAAATAAAAATTCCAACTTAAAAATGAGAAAAGATGTGAACACATACCTCACTAAAGACATATAGATATGCATATGTTAAGATGCTTAATGTCACTTGTCAGTAGAGAATTGCAAATTAAAACAAAAATAAATACTAATACCCGCCTATTAGAATAACAAACAATACATATTTTTTAAAAACTGGCAATACTAATTGCTAGAGAAGATACAGAGCAACGGTAACTCTCATTCATTATTGGTGGAAACAGAAAAGGACACCACTTTTGGAGATATTCTGGCACATTCTTACGAAGTTAAAGTTTTACCACACAATCTAGCTATTGTGGTCCTAGGTATTTATCCAACTGATTTGAAACTTATGTCCACACAAAACATACACACAAAACTAGTCACCTAAAACTGGAAGCAACAAAGATGTTCTTCAATTGGTAGATGAATAAACTTTGGTACATCCATACAATAAAATATTATTCAGCAATAAAAAGAAATGAGCTATCAAGCCATGAAAAGACATAGAGGGGCCTGAAAAACATATTGCTAAGTGAAAGACACCATTGTAAAAAGGCTACATATTATATGATTCCATTATAGCACATTCTGGATTAGGTAAAACTATAGAGACAATAAAACGATCAATGATACTGATCCTGTAACAGGAAAAAAAAAAGGAGTATTAGGTAAAAACTAAGGAAATCTGAACAAAATATGAAATTTAGTTAATAATGTCTCAGTATTAGTTCATTAATTGAACCAATCTGCCCAGTTCTCTGTCCAAATGCATTTTCCAAACTGTAGCACAGGGAAGTAGGGACCTATCAGAGAGGAATGGTAGGCCTAAATGGAAAATTACAGTGGCTATTACAGTTTGGGGCTGCTAAGGCAGCTGAAATTTGGGGGAGCAGAGTACCAGAAGGAGCGAGGTATACAGGGAAAGAAACCTAGAAATCGCCAGAAGGATTCTTTAAACAATTTAGCCAAATACTAAGCTGTGCATGCACAAAGCAAGACTCTCAGGACATCTGGCAGAGAATAGCTTTGGGGGACTATGAATAAAACAAGGATTCCAAGAGTGACACAGTACTGGGAAACCTTGGAATTCCGACAAGTCAGAATGGAGACACCTCATGGACAGCCCAGGCACTCAGTTGAAACCCCAGAAATAACATGCCTTGCGAGTAGAGTTACTGAAACCCCAGAGTAATGACTGTACTAGACTCTTCCCGAAATCTAGAAAATCGAGCTTCTGTAGGATCAGGCTAATCCGCTATAAAATCCCACACTCTTTAAAGGAAAACAATATAAAATAATAAATTGTCAATAATGAGGCATCTATAAAATAAATTGTCAATAATGTAGCATCTATAAAGTTGAGCATATAATAAAAATGACTAGACATATAAGGAAGCAGGAAAGACAGCCAAACTAGGAGAGAAAACAGTCAATAAAAGCAGCCAGAGATCAGACGGATGTTGGAATTAGCACAAAAAGACTAAAATAATGATTAGAAGTATGTTTAACAGATTAAAGGAAAAAACAACTGTTTATAATGTGAAAAGGGCTGGATAAGCTTAGCAGAGAAACAAAAACCACCAAAAAAAAAAAAAAAAGCCACATGGAAAATCTAAAATAATGTAACATCTAGAATTTTAAAAAGTTTCTAGTTGAGCTTCGAAATGGATTGGGAACTGCAGAAAAAAATATTAGTAAATTTGAAAATAGGTCAATAGAAACTATCCAAATTTACATGTAGAGAAAAATAAGTGAAAATAATGAATAGAGACTTAGAGACTTATGAAAAAGAAGGATATATCTCTAATTGGAAACCCCAAAGAAGAGTAAGAAAGATTAGGGCGGAAAAAACAATTGAAGAAATAAATAGACTAAAAATTCTCCAAATTTGATGAAAATTATAAATCCATATTTTCAAAAGACTTAAAAACTCTTAGCAGAATAAACACAAAGAAAATCACACCTAGGCACTGCCTAATGAAGTGGCTGAAAAGCAATGATAAATAGAAAAATCTTAAGAGCAGCCACAGAAAAAAATAAAGGAAAGAATTACCTTTAAAAAAATATGCTGTCATCAGAAACAATGTGGCCAGAGGATAATGAAACAACACTTAAAAGTGCTAAAAGGAAAAACGAAAACAGTGCTCTGCCTCAGACAGAACCAAGAGATATGTACAGTGATGTTCGCCGCAGTAATTTTTAATAGCAAAAGTGTGAAGACCATTTACCTGCCTTTCAATAGGGGAATGAAAAATAAATTGGTTTATTCACACATTGAAGCTATATGTAGGAGTCTAAATAAATAAATTTGATCTACGCATTTCAACAAGGATACATCTCAAAAACAATATGGATTGATAAATGCAAATCAAGAAAGACACAAAATGATATTTTATATGAAACTTAAAATCCAAAATCTTAGACCAAATTTTTTATAAATGTTTACTATAAATATAATAAAAGTATAAATATATGCATAGAAATGGTGCATCAGCTTCAGGATGGTGTTTTCTCTAAGGTTAGTGGGGATACAGATAGGGGTAAGATCCCTGGCTATCTCTAAAACATTTTATGTCTTATGAAAATAGAAAGAAATACAAAGTAATTTTTTTAAATGAGAGTTTTTAAATCTTGGGTTCACAGGTGTTATTTTTATATGATTTTTTCATTTCAAACATATGTCTCTTAAAATTTTTTATTTAAGTATAACGTTCTTATTGAAATTACATTCTAACTTTATATAGCTTGACAAATTATCACAGAGGGAACATGCCTGTGAGTCTGAAGAATATTCTGCCTAAGTTCTTTTCAAAATCTACTGATGCCCTTAGGAACAAATCAAACCCAATGTCTCAGCTTCCTTCTTCTCTTGGGATACAGCCCCAATATTTTTCACTAACTTTTTGTGATGCCTTTAAGTATTTTAAAAATTTTGTAGAGCTTTTCCAGTTGTTCAAGCTCATCCCCCTCCACCCAGCCCATCCCCCACCCCCAATAAAACAAAACTTTTATTCTCTCTCGCTCGCGCTCGCGCGCGCTCTCAGCAAATCCAACAATTGGAGACTCTAAAGGGCACCATTTAGTGGAACTTAAGTATCATGCTAAATGTCATAACAAGCAAAAATGAAATAAAATTTTAGCCTAGTGTCAGAGCTATCTTTCAGGGAGGAACTGACAAGGATGGACAAATAATAACATTGATGTAAGGTGTTTGCCGTTGGTGACTAATGAACAAATGGGAAGCATCCTGAACTCTCTTACCAAAGCACATAAAGTGGTATCTAGAAGGAAGTTTTGTCCCTAAAATAATAAGAGTCCTAAAAGCCTGGTGAAAAGCTAAAGGACCATAAGAGAACTGGGCATAAAAATTAAGAGAAGACCCACCCAATTTTACCATGGGCACATAACTTCCAGTTCAAAGACTGCATTTTCAGCCTCCCTTTCAGCAGTGTGTGGTCATGTGACCACACTCAGGCCAAGTGCATGTGAATCAAAGTGATGTGCAAAACTTCTGAAACCTACCTTTAACGAAAAGGGACAGGGCCTTTCTCTCATGAAGGCTGGAGCTAGAGTAGCTATTTAGAGCACAAATGGAAGATAAGGATTGACACTGGCAGAGCAAAAAATTAGGAGTCTCCTTCCCTGTCTCTATCGCGACTATATTTAGCCTAGTACATGAAAGAGAAATTCGCTTCTATCCTATTTAAGCCATTGTTATTTTTGGAACTTTGTTACAGAAGCCAAACTTTGTAAGCTAACTCATACACCATGCAAACTGCCCATGCTTCTCTGCTATGACACCACATCAACTGGTAAAAGAAATACTGTATATGAAGGTGAATTTCAAACAGAAATAGAGATAAGAAGTAGGACACAATTACCAAATACCTTTTAGAGTCAGTATTCCTTAGATATACTCCTTAGTTTTCTGTCATTTCAGATTGATGATTTGAGGATCCTGTTCCTGTGGCCTGTCCCTGTTCAGTATTTATTTCATTGCTAGTATAGTTATTTCCATGTTATTGAGGAAGACATTGGGAACCTTCTAAAGTTTTTAAGTGTTTTTCTTTTACCCAGTCTTACTTTTTTTCCCCTTAGTCTAGTCTATAATACAATGAAGAAACTAGGATCTATTTTTTTCCCAGGGTATTATGATTTTGCTTTGGATCAGTTTAATGGTATTTTTTCCCTCAGATAAATCATTTAATATTAATCAGAAAATTCATTGTAGTCATTTTTTCACTATGAATAAAAACAAGGAATCCTTTCTGCAGAATATTATCTGTAGCGTCCGAATAGGAGTTTCTTTAACTACAATTTGCAAAGCCTGTGGTCTGTCATTGGCTTCTATTTTTCATTTTTCACTTTTTCCAGATTGACCAAAAGATACTTTTTTTTTTTTTTTTTTTTTTAGCTAATGGTTGGATTACTTCTGCCACTTGGCTGACAAGTTGAGGATTTAGAAAATACTATCCAATTAAAATCTGGCTGGAGTCCCAATGGACAGAAGAATCAAAAGGTCAGTCCCAGTGTAAGGACACTTATTGTCATGAATGATGCTTTCTACCTGATCTAATTCACTCCTTTCCAATGTTCAGGCACCTAGAAATTAAATCTTAGAAAAATCAAAATACTTTTAAAATTCGTTAAAGTTGTGGTGACACATTCACCAAATGTATGAAGTTTTTCAATCTAAAACATTCTTACAAAATGATCCTTCCCTCTAATATTTTCAAGCCAAGAACTAAATTATTCTTGTAAACAAATTAAAAGAAATAATCAGAAAATCGAGAAAATATGCATGCTTTAAAAAAGCTACTGCCCTTTGAATGTCCGTGATTCTTTTTTAAATTTTTGTTGAAGTACATGTCTAAACATCCTCAATTAGAATAGTGCTCAACAAATCTAATGACTTTTTAATTGCAGAGAAACCATTAATAACAAACATTTGCTTTATCAGGGAAGAACACTAGAGTTCAAGAATATAAAATTCTGACATGAGGAATTTGTGGTAAAAATTTGTGCTCGGGCTATGTATTATACAAACCCTCATCATTTCATTCCCAACCAGCACTGCTCGGTCTTGGGGTAAAGAATCAAAGCCTTGTTCTCTCATTAGCATAAGGTTCACTGTTTAATGATGCCCTCTTTTATTTTTCTTTTATTATCTTTTGCTTCTTTTTATTAAAAATTCTGTCATTTCCTGGAGTTTAGTATGACATCCTATCAATATTATTGTTTCACTTTTCAATATTAAAGATTGGTGTGTAAGAAAAAGCACCTCCTCAAATTTGGGTTGTTCTGCCAGGGCCTTTTGAACATTTATGTTTTCATTGCTGAAATGGCGACAAATTCTGTAGCAAAAATGTTCTCTTTCCTTCTTCAGTTGCTGGCAAAAAAATGCAGAAGCAGCAATGAGCTGAGACAGTTTTGAAAAGGAAAAGAACATTCAATAGCCCATGCATTCCAGATTTTTAATTTTATATTAGTCAAAAGCAACATTTTAGAACAAATAGAAATACACCTTAAAGTTTAATTAATCATTTTCATGGACTGTGATTATCATTTGTATCCCAGTAGAGGATGGGAGACCAAATATGTTTGCAGTCCATTTTCTTTTATTGAAACCACAACATAAGACTAAGAGAGTCTTCCTGCGAATTAGGAAAGACACATTTGCCACAAAATTATCCATGTAAAGAACATTAGAGTCTCTGAAATAACCCTATTGTCTTTAAAATCAAGCAAGTAATCAGTGGGAATTTACTACGTGCCTTGTGCCACACTCATCTCTGTAGAGGAAAACGCACAATCCTTTGTTCATGAAGGAAGTAAGGAGGAAATATGACACATATTAAAAATAAGAGAATAATGACAAGTCAAAGAGTCAAAGAGCTGTGTGTCTAGAGAGCATTGTTTTGACCCGACTTACTTTTCTTGAATTAGGCTCAAACGCTGCCATCGGTCTGCTCTAAGGGATTTCTAAGAAACAACTAGAATAAAATTAATTTAATACAGTATTTATTGTAAAATCATTGAAAATATCACTTGCCTTATAATCTAAATAATCTAAAAATTGTTGAAATAACATGGTGTTGTGAGATATGGATAAAAGTGTCAAAAAGATTAGAGAAAAATGGAT